AAAGCTTTTCATGAAATATAAACCTTTGAATGCAAGAGTCTAAATACATATATTAAAAGAAGGTTGGGTGGATTTAAAAATTTGCTCCATTTATGTGCTGGATATATGGCCATGTACAAAAGCAATTTGATGGAGGAAAGACAGTCTTTTCTGCAAACAATACTGGAGCAAGTGGACATTCAAGGGTATTATATGAAATTTGGCTAATGAGAACTGTATTGTAAACATCTGATAAAAATTTTTTAAAAATCTATCATGGACTTAATGTAAAATGTCCACATTTAAAAAAAAACACAATAAAAACTGGACAAGAACATAGGAGAACATATTCATAATTGAAAGTTAGGTTTTGAGACTTGTATAAAAAGTTGCCAAAACTAGAAATTGAAAAATCCCAAATATTCCAGATAGAAAATGGAAAAATACATATTGAATCATTTCACTGAAGTGACTATACAGATGGAAAACAAGCGCATGACCATATACTGAACCTCATTAGCTATTGTGGAAATGCAAGTTAAAATTATAATAAAATCTCTACATAGCCAAGAATGACTAAAATAACAATGACAACACCAAATGTCGATAAGGATTTGGAGGAACTGGTTCACTCATGGATAGTTGATGAGAATAAAAATTTGTACAGCTAATTTGAAGTTTATTTTGTGTGAGCATGATGTCCATTTTCCAATGAACAGTCCCTCCTGGCCACATGCCCAAAGTATGTGAGACAAAGCTTTAAAATCCTAGCTTCCAAGAAGAAATTTGGTTTCCTCCTCTCCAGGACAGACCTATTTGGGTTTTTGTTTTTGTTTTTTGGGTTTTTTTTGTTTTTTGGCAGTCCATAGTATGTTCAAGACTCTTCTCCAGTACCACAACCCAAAGACATTGATTCTTCTTCTATTGTCCTTAGCTATTGTCCACCTTTTTGATGCATAGTAAGTAATTGCGGAGACCATGGCCTGGAGCAGGAGCACCTTAGTCTCTAGACTCACATTATTGCTTCTCAGTACTCTGGAGAGGTCCCTGACAGCAGATTTTTCTGGTGCACGAGTGCTGCTGATTGTGGAGCAGAACAAGCTGTAATTGTTAGCAACCTCAACCTTTTCTCTATCTATCATGGTGTTGTCAACTGGCCTAGTGGTGAGAATCTTTATCTTCTTGATGTTTATCTTCAGCCTATATTGAAGACTACAGTCGTTGACCTTCTGTAGCAAGCACTTCCGGTTCTCCTTAGTTTGAGCAAACAAGATTGTGTCATATGCATAACTCAAGTTGTTGATGAGTCTTCCTCCAACCCTAGTGCCACATTCCTCCTCATAAAGCCCAGCCTCCCAAATGATCTTTTCTTCATATAGATTGAAAAGGAATGGAGACAGGATGCATCTCTGATGCACTCCTTTCCTGATTTTGAACCATGAAGTGTTTCCTTACTCTGTTATGAGGACTGCTTCCTGGTCCAATTATAGGTTTTGCCTAATATATATTAAGTATGACTCACAGTAATCCAATGAACAACAGATCCGAACCCTGCCCCATTCTGTGCTATCTCCATAATCTCTGACATATTTGAGCTCATTTTTGCAGTCACTGTGCTAATCCATCTCTTTGTGGTCCTTTCTCTCCTTTGTTGACTCACTATCTTTCTGAGTATGAAGTCCTTTTCCAAGGAATAGCATTGCCTAGCTTACATATCTAAAATAGGGGGGAAGAGAGATCAGCTACCTTTGTCTCTAGAGAATGCTCTGACTACACTTTATCAAAAATATATCTGTTGTTCTTTTGGCAGTCCATGGGATATTCGGTACTCTTCTGCAGCACCACAACTCAAAGACATCAATTTTTCTTCTGTCATCCTTAGTCATTGTCCAGCTCTCAGAATCATAACACCTTATTTAGACTTACACTGACATCATTGCTCTTAAGTGTCTTGGAAAGGTTTCTGACAGAGCACTTGCCCAATGCATATTTCCTGACTTTTCATTTCAGGAACAGGTTTGAGGCCTTGAACACTAATAAGCAAAGACCAGAGGAACTGTGGGAGGATATCAAGAATAATTTCATGGAAGAATGCAAAAGGCAGAATACTAAGAATACTAAAGAATACTAAGGCAGAGGAGAAAGAAAAGACAAAATAAATGTCAGAGGAGACTGAATATTACATTAGAACACCAAGAAGCCAAAGCAAGGGGAATTAATCACGAAATGTGTGGCAGATTTCAAAAGCCAGCATGGGAAGTCTAAGCAAATTAGTATGAATAAAGTATACAAAGGGCTGGAGTAAGAAGAGAAAAACTCATTCTGTA